TTTCTCTCTCTCTTTCTCTCTCTCCCTCTTTCTCTCTCTTTCTCTCTTTCTCTCTCTTTCTCTTTCTCTCTCTCTTTCCCTCTCTCTCTTTCTCTCTCTCTCCCCCTCTTTCTCTCTCTCTCTCTTTCTCTCTCTCTCTTTCCCTTTCTCTCTCTCTCTTTCCCTCTCTCTTTCTCTCTCTCTCTTTCTCTCTCTCTCTTTCCCTCTCTCTTCTTTTTCCTCGTTTTGGCACGCTGTGCTTTTTTGGAAGGGCCACCCAGAGAAAGGCGAACTCGCTTCGCCCTTCCAGACGACCCCGCTGTTGAGAGGCGGCCTTCCCGACTTTTTCCTTGGGGGTTCCCTCCTTTGGGAAGGTCGGTTCAGCAAGAGGGGTTGCTTGCCTCGCAGTTGAACCCAAAGTAATCCGTTGCTAAGTGAGACAGATTAGCAGAGTCGGAAGGGATTTTGTAGGTCATCTAGTCCACCACCACCCCCAAGCAGGAGACCCTACCCCATTTCTGACAGAGGGCAGTCCAATCTCTTCTTGAAAGCTTCCAGGGATGAAGCTCCCACAACTTCTGAAGGCAACTTCTGTTCCATGGGTTGATTGTTCTCCCTGTCAGAAAGTTTCTCCTTATTTCTAGGTTAAATCTCTCCTTATTCAGTTTCCATCCATTATTCCTTGTCTGGCCTTCGGGTGCTTTAGAAAATAGCTTGACCCTTTCCTCTCTGTGGCAGCCCCTCAAATATTGGAAGACCGCTATCATGTCTCCTCTGGTCCTTCTCTTCACTAGACTAGCCAAGCCCAGTTCCTGCAACCATTCATCACATGTTTTAGCTTCCATTTAAGTGAATTTTGCCCCATTTTGCCATCTTGCATTCCACCATTGTTGAGGGGGTCACTGTGGTTGTGAATCGCTTTTCTCCACATTACTGATGCCCAGTTCCCGCAACCGTTCTTCATATGTTAAAGGCCTGGAGGCTAAAACTTATGAAGAATGGTTGCAGGAATTAAGTAGGGCTAGTCTAGAGAAAATAAGAATTAGGGGAGACATGATAGCAAGTGTTCCAGTATTTGAGGGGCTGCCACAAGGAAGAGGAGGGGTCAAGCTATCATCCAAAGCACCTGAAGGCAGGACAAGAAGAAGGGAACTCATCAAGGAGAGAAGCAACCTGGAAATTTAGAGGAAACTTCCTAAGAGGGAGGACAATTAACCAGTGGAACAGCTTTGCCTTCGGAAGTTGTGGGTGCTTCATCACTGGAAGTGTTTAAAAAGAGACTGGACAGCCACTTGTGTGAAATTGTATAGAGTCTCCTGCTTGGGCAGGGGGTCGGACTAGATGACCTCCAATGTCCCTTCCAGCTCTATTCTGATTGATTCAGTTATAACACCATTGCTAAGGGAACCTGGCTTCCCCATTGATTTTCCTTGTCACAAATGAGGATTCCATGACCCCTCTGGGGTACCGCAATCCTCATAAATAGGAACAAGTTGCCAAACGTCTGAATTTTGATCCGGTGCCCATGGAGGTGCTGTAAACAGTCCTAGGTGTGAATAATGGCTGCACTGTAAGTCACCTTTTACAGTGCCGTTGTAACTTCAAGTGTTTGCTAAAGGAATGGGCGTATGTTGGGCTTCCTCTGTAATTCAGGGCTGAGGATCTCCAGTTGGCATTTCCCCTTTCCAGAGAGTGTGTTACTGTGTTTCTGTCTTTGGTTCATAACCGAGTTTTACCTAGAGAAAGTTAGCTAGTTTTCTTGGCAATAGGTTCAGAAAGGTTTGTCCTTGCCTTCTTCCGGAACTGACAGGGAGGGACTACAGAGTCCCAAGTCCAGTGGAAGAACAAATACAGTATTAAAACACCCGCAGTGCACAAGCTGAACACAGCAGGAAGTCATAGTGGCAATAGGGAATAGGTTCCCAAGGTGGTATTCAGCAGGTTCTGACCAGTTCTGGAGAATCAGTAGCGGAAATTTTGAGTAGCTTGGAGAACCTGCAAGTATCATCCCTCTACTGGCCCTGCCCTCATCTAGTCTCTGCCTCCTGAGTCCCAGCTGATCGGCTGGGTCTTCTTTGGTTGCCCTGCACAGGAGAACGGAGCTGGAAAGCAGGTTAGTGGAATTGGGAGGGAATGGAGATTTTGCAGTATTCTTCCCCTGCCACGCCCACCAAGCCACACCCACAGAACCGGTAGTAAAAAAAAAATTGAATCCCGCCACTGCTCCGTTCCTAAAAAGGTTTGAATCCTGCCACTGCTCCATTCCTAAAAGGGTTTTTGCTACTCTAAACAGTCTGTGGATAGAATAAGGGAGATATTTCACATCCCTGATCACTATGGTGTAAACCAGGAGTGTCCAACCTTGGCATTTGTAAAACCTGTGGACTTCAACTCCCAGAATTCCTGAGCTAACATGACAAGAGGAGGAATTCTGGGAGTTGAAGTCCACAAGTCTTAAAGATGTCAAGTTTGAAGGCTTAAATGCACCCCAGACAGGAAGGCCTGGAGGAATGTTGTCCATGGGGTCACGATGGGTCAGACACAACTTTGCAACTATCTATCTATCTATCTATCTATCTATCTATCTATCTATCTATCTATCTATCTATCTATCATACTTGTCCTTCTACATCATGGATGTCAAACTCAAGGCCCAGGGCCAGATCCAGCCCACAAGATTTGGACTGAGGGGCTGCCCTGGAAATAGCAAAGGAACGGTGCCTCTGCCAGTGAAAATGGAGTTCAGGAGGGGCTCCATTTTCACTGCCAGAGGACTCTAGGGGGATCCCCCCAGCAGCCCCACCCGGGGCCACCACAGGTGCCCCTGACATGCATGATGCTCTGCTGGCCACACCCACCCCAGCCATGCTCACTTGCGCCCCCCCAAGGTCAAACACAACCCTGATGCGACCCCCAGTGAAATCGAGTTTGACACCCCTGTTCTACCTGCCCCAAGATTGCTGCCATTTTAGCAGAGACATTGTCCTCTGGTGCCTTGGACATTTTGCGAATCCATATTTTGTAAGTTAGGAACGCGGTGGCTCAGTGGCTAAGACGCTGAGCTTCTGTCGATCAGAAAGGTTGGCAGTTTGGCGGTTCGAATCCCTAGCGCCACATAATGGAGTGAGCTCCCGTTACTTGTCCCAGCTCCTGCCAACCTAGCAGTTCGAAAGTATGCAAAAAAAAAATGCAAGTAGAAAAATAGGGACGCCTTTGGGGAGGAGATAACAGCGTTCCGTGCGCCTTCGGCGTTTAGTCATGCTGGCCACATGATCATGGAGACGTCTTCGGACAGCGCTAGCTCTTCAGCTTTGTAACGGAGATGAGCACTGCTCCCTAGAACCGGAAACGACTAGCACATATGTGCGAGGGGAAACTTTACCTTTATTTTTAAGTTATTTTGGCTATCCTGGCAAAGCAACTGATAGAAAGAGCTCTTAGCAAAATGCCAATCCCTTGGGATGGCCAAGCAGAGGCACAACACAACCGAAGAACGTTCTGACAATCCCGGTCTGCATGGACAATCCCACTGTGGTTTTTGACTTTGTGATACAGTGGCCCCGCCGTGCCTGGGTTCATGAATGTATCGTCATGATTTAAGCAAACTGCAGGCAATACAAAGGTTTTGAGACGATGAGCAAAGCACACACGGGACTGGTTCTAGATCTACAGTCTGTGCAGGGGAATTTCACCCCTTCTTCCAAAGTCATTTTCTCAGCTTCCCAACCCATTATAACAAATGTCCCTGACTCATTTCCTATGATCAACAGTTACAAAATGCACCTCTGAGCCTGCAGTTCTGATGCTGGCTCCGTAATTGAAGCAATGATTGACAATGCTCTTCCTTCCCTTTAGCTATAGGTTCCCCAGATTTTATTTCTCATTTGCAGAAATTTTCTCATAGCAAGAATTACAGCACCCATCACATTACTAAGCCAGCACCATTATGGCATCATAGGATGCAGGAGAAAACCGGTATTTTGAAATCTGTTTTGATTAAAAAGAAAGAACTTGAAATTACGATATATGCATAGGAAATAACACGAGCCAAGGCTTTTGAGGTCATCAGACGGTGGTCCTCATACCAGTAGTCCTCGACTTACGACCGCAGTTGAGCCTGAAATTTCTGTTGCTGACTTTGGACCAATCAGCAGGAGACGGTGAGTTCTAGCCCCACTTTAGCCATGAAAGCCAGCTGGGTGACTTTGGGCCAATCACCAGGAGACAGTGAATTCTAGTCCTTTTCTTAGCTGTGAAAATCAACTGAATGACCTTGGACCAGTCTTCCTCTCCCTCTCTCAGCTGAATTTC